GGGAAACATTTGAGTGCAATAACGAAACATATCATAGTTTATAATTTATTGAAATTAATATCCAATTAGAGTTATCGTACGCGTTGCGTTGATTAGTAATGATTTTGTAATCGATGCGAAATACGAATGGTGATGTAATAAATTCGTATAAATCAATTATTTTTAATTTCGTAATCGAAAGTTGAAACGTCGAAACGAGGTAAGAGAGAGTAGGCAAATAAAATAATGAGAATGTGTGTGTTGTGTGTATGTGTGTGATGTGTGTCGGTAGAGAAAAATAAATTGAAAAATATAATATATATTGATGACGTATTTACAATTTTATTCGTATGGCACAGTATAATAATGGATAAAACATATGATATTCGGATTATCGGTAAATTAAAATACACATATTAGATAATTTGAATTAAGTAATTCTTTTCTTTGTGTATGTTATGTCGCTGCAGTCATGTACAGTGACGAGTCACGAATGTTTGACTCACTAACAATAAGATAGTGTTTGATTTAAAAGAAAAACAAAAAAAAAACAAAGCGCACATTAAAAATTCATTTTCTATTATTTATTCGATCGTTAAAATACCAACGAACTTTGATTCCTCGGGACGGGTCATATCGTATTTTTTCGTCGAATTGAATTGAAAAGAAAAAGAAAAGAGGAAGGAAGGAAAACAATTCACGTGAAATTCTTATGCTATTTAAAAAAAAAAATCACGTTAAAAGATTAAAAATATAATCTAATTAGATTGTCCTGTCGCAATAAAAGTTTTCATATCCTATAAATAATTATTGGATCGTTTAATAAGAAAACCACCAAGTTCCTTTGATAAGGATTAAACTTGTTAAATTGTTTTCACACATTGTGAGATTAAATTATCATTGGTAGAATACAATGATAAGGGGATAATTGTTGATATTATGAAAAATTGCACTTAACGCGAATAGTTTTTTTTTTCGCATATAGTTCGTTCGGTACATTATTCACTATTAATAATTAAAATTTAATCGACCTCATCTTCGACCAATTCATCCTCGTCCTGACCAAAATCATCGTATTGATCTTTTAAATTATCCTCTTCTTTATCCAATGGACAATGGATACACCTGGATTCATTAATACCATAATTAATGCACGTATCACCGATACACTCACAGCAACCATCGTGGAACCACCTATAGCTGTTTGCACCCATACTTTGACAGGAAGCTCGACACTTGTTCCATGAGTTGCATTGTGCCATAAACGCGACGGTACAATTTACAGTCATCACGTTTGGTTTCAAAGGATGCATCACTTCGTCAGCAGTTTCTGCATTACAACAATTACATATATATGTATATATAATATTATAATGTATTCTTTTATAATTATAATACATATTGAGAGGAGGGATGGGGTAGGGGGTTTCTATTTTGAACACTAAACGTAACAAGTTTCGCGTATATCTTTTAAAAAAAAATATATGACTTATGTAATAAGAATTTTAGATTAATCCAAAAATATTATACAATATAATTAGTAAAAAATTGTGTCAACAAAAAAAAGTAATTGACAATCGGTTATTTAACCCTTCTTTGCATGATGATAGAAATTTCAATCATAATATTTAGTCAACAAAAAAAGGTACTCAAAACCCTTGTACTGTATATTTGTTGTTGCTGGCAACTTTTTAAGTGACTATTGCGTACAACAAAACGCAGTTGTCAAAAAATAGCACTAGGATTTTTTTAAATATTTTTCCTTTAATCTAGAGCATTAATTACATCACCCTGATTTATTTAAAAAAAAAAAGAAAAAATCATGCAAAGAAGGGTTAATGTTTAACACGATACGTTTAGTGGTTTTTAAAAGTTATTAATTGTTTTTTTTCATATATCTAAATAAATAAATAATATATGAGAGTATATTAAAAATCTGAATAAAATTGTAAAATATTGTAAGATTTAACTCACGCATGTGATATTTGATTTCTTTATCTTGTTTTGGCGCAAACAAGGTCATATCAAAATCGACTGGGAAGCTAAAGGTTAGCCAACGTTCGCGAGGATCCGGTTCTGCTGTGAGTGCTTGAAAGAGACCTGGTACCGGTTCGCTGAAATCTTCCACGTGGGATTTTTTGCTCAACGGGTTGTCCGTGATGTTCGGTTTTGGGCAGAGATCTTTTTAAATATAGAAACAAATAAATGAAACCATTGGAAGAATTTTCAATCGTCGCTATTAGTATTTTAAAGGATTAATCAAAACTTTGCGTTTGGGTTTTTATAAAAAAGAAAAAAACTTTTAATATTTGTCAAAGTAAATTTTAGAAAAAAAAAACCAATTCATTGTGTGTTTTGTAACACAATAATAAAAAAATCATAAATATCAACACCGTTTGCACTACGAATTATATTTCAGTTTTGTTATCAGTAGATTTTAATGCTTTTAAATTATTTTATTTGAAATTTATTTTAATTAAAAAGAAAAAATGACAATTTAAATATATATAAAGAAAGAAACAAATTCAATTATTATTATTATTGTATTTTGTAATTTTTATACTCAAAGTTACGATATCTTTTGAGATAAAAATTGACATCACACTCGACATAAGAGTGCAAAGGTGTTTAATATATCACTTGTATAAAAGTAATTTAATTGACTTCTCCAAAAAATTGCATTATTTGAAACTATGAACAATAAATGCACGAATTTTTGGTTCACCCTAATACTCTTACATATCGCTAATTTACAAGTATATTTTTAAATTTTATATTATTAAGTTGTACCAAAAGTTTGCATATTTTTTTTTTCATGAATAAAATTTCACACTCGCGCGTATAAAGTAATTTTATTAATTTAAAGAAAAAACAAATTGTGCATTATATCTGAAACAAAAACAATAAAATGCACACGAACTTTTGATTCACCTTAATATAGTTAAACGATTATATATATTTGGTGTATTGTTTGTTTGTTTTTTGATTATTATGAAAACTTACCAACGCAAGAACAACACTCGTCATATAGATAACTTAAACATGAGAAACACTCTTTGCAGCAAGTACAGGTGACGAGGTCGCATTTGCAACTTTGTGTGAGCATGCATTTGCTAACGACGCTTGCACAAATGGCTTCGTTGCAGGCTTCCGAGTAATCGGTTTTAGTAACCAGAAGAAGAATTCCTATGGTAAACACGGCGGTGATCATCATCATCAGCCCGTTCCTGCACGTCATCGTGTTCTGAACAAAATTCGTGAATGGAATACATTATTTTGAATTAAATGCATTGTATACTTATTGTAAACAAATTGATTTCAAGCAAGCAAGCAAGCAAGCAAACAAACAAAAAGGAAAGAAAGAAAGCAAAGAAAAGAATAGAAAGAAATAATCAGACAGTTTTCGTATATTTTTCAACGTTTCGAACGACGAAACACGTTGATTACGACGATAACGCTCGATTAAGATTATTAAGAATATTCATGAACGTGAGTCAGTACATTATGCTGTGAGAAAGAGAAAGAGATATATACGTGTTAGCGAAAAGAACGAAAATTTCAGTTCAACTTGGATATAATACACACACACACACACACACATATATACACTTGATATTATATTTCCTTTGAGATTTTTTGTTCTACGATTGTGTCATATTTTTCATAACTTTTATAACATTTATGTTAATGCTAATATCATTAATTATTAACATTAGATTTACGAATGTGTTTTGTTCATTATATTTGTGAAAAACTTTACGAACATTGTTTGAATGATGAAGTTGGCATTAAAAATCAACATAAAATATATAATAAAAAAATATATATTTAATATATAATATATAATAATATTATATAATATAATATTTATGTTATATATATATATATATATATATTTTTTAGCTAGGA